ACATATGCGGGTCTATAAAGGCAGAGGACCTGTGATGATATAAGGCCTTTGAGTTTGTGGGCACGGCTCAGGGCGGCTCCATGTTCACACAGTAACTTTGTGGGTCAGTGGAGAGAACAGGCCACCCTCCGAAGCCTAACGCGCCTGCACACTTTACTGCTGCTCAGCAGGGTTTTACATACTTTTGTCAACTTTTACAAGTTTATTATAAAACACAAAGTGAACGCATATGTTTGATTTACAACAGTTTGCTTCATGCTCTGAGCTGCGGCTGCCTCTTTAAAAGCTCCAGGTGTTGACCCTCTGTAGTGAAAACATTATCACAGACAGTTTGTTTTGATCTGTCTTTATCTACATGTCATTAAAAACATTATTAGGGGATTAAGTTTGTGTGTGTGTGTGTGTGTATGTATATATATATATATATATATATATATATATATATATATATATATATATATATATATATATATATATATATATATATATATATATATATATATATATATACACACACATATACATATCCTGGGTTGTTAATGAGTCATGTCATGTTTTTGTCATAAACATGTTTTGATGACAAACCAGAAAATATCTGCAAAGCGAATCTACTTACGTAAATCTTACGTAAATCTGATTTGTCTTTTTATTTACAATTATCATGGCCATGTTTGATACAAAACCAGATAATGTACGCTCAATATTTCCTTTGATTGTAGGGCAGACGGAAAAAGCAGGGAGCAAAAAGAGGAGTACAGAGCACAACTGGGACACTTGCTGTGCGGTGTCATAGATTGGATGTCAGATGATGACTTCAGGCCAGTAAATGTCCTCAAAAGGATTGTTTTTATTGTTACTGGGAAACACGCCATCTTTGAAGCTACACTTACTCAAGTTATGAAATAACTCGGAAACTGTATTTTTTGTAATGAAGATTTGAGGTTTGTCATATCTTTTTACACTTTACGATGTGCAGTGTTTGTTCAGGCATACATCATTTTCAACCTGGGATTCACCGAACACATGGACTCCATCACCTGCATTGAAGTCACATTTAAAGATTTTTATTTTTTCAAACAAATCAGATGAGATTTTTGGTTGACCTCCCGTAACCCCAGACTGTATTTTTATTCACGCAGTACAAGAGAGTGTGGTAGTCCTGTAGGTCCACCTTTTAACTAGTGCCAGGTGGAGGCTGTTGTCCCAGTTCATGTCACTGTATCCTAATGGGAGGTGTGGGCCTCTCCACCTGCTAGTACTCAGACCAACACGAAACAAGTTAAGGACACAGGAGTTGGGTGTGAAAACATTTTTCTAGCACTGGGGTCCTTTTAAGACTATAAGACTTCATTTGATGTCCATGCCAATAAATCATCATCCACAGACTAAAGGGTATTTTGACAGTGATGGAGAGTTTAGTGTTTCCTTTTGCCTCTGGGTATAAATGAACAACTTATACTACACTACCCTTATGCATGGACATTATTCCGTGGAATATTTTCACCAGTATCGTTATCAGGATTTAACATGTAATGGACACAAATAAAGATTATACAATTTCTTGTTGTAATTTCAAATTGAGGTCAATAACTTGCACAGTTTACTGCTGTTCAGTATTCTGGTCAAATGGTCCCTCCACCTCAGTGTTATAGCATGGCCATTTCAGAATGTTATTATATCACATGAAAACAACAAATCATTCATAACATTCATTTCAACATTGACCACTACAGTGACCTTAAAGTAGGTTACACGTCTTGTAACAATTGTCTAAAATGGTTACCAAATGATCACTGTACAGGACGTTACTATACTGCATTATGGAGTAATGTGTCCAGATGGTAAACTGACTAAAGCTGTGAAGAGTAGGCAAAAAATACCTACAGTAAAACACATTTGGCTTGACCAGTAGCTCAATGATCTTTAACAGCACAACATGTCCAGGGTTCAAGTATCAGCCTTGATCCTTCCTGTGTGAAGTTTACATGTTCGCTGGCTCCCTGTGTGGGTTTGCTGTGGGTCGTCTGTTTTTTACAGTCCGCCCACATGTAGACCAGGTGGACTAGAGACTATAATTGTCTATGTGAGTGCTGCTCTGAAGAAAACTAATGATCTGTTCAAAATATGTTCCTTCTGACCACCCAATGCATTCTAAGCTATGCATTCCTGATACAACATGTTTATACTTGATTTTAGTATGTTTTATTGTTTAGGATTTCATAGTGTTTCTATTTAGAGAGCTGGGAAGGCTTTACAATTGTTGAGGGAATCTGTGTCTGATCTTTTTACCAGGCATTTTACAGTGATACCGCAGTGAAAGGTCAGGTGTGACCAAGAGGGACTTGGGATGAACTGGAAAATGAGCAAATTTATGTGGAAAATGTAGGAGCCAGTATTGTTTGGATGCTTTGTCAGACTGGAAACATTTGATCAGTTGTGTGTGGATGTGACAAGCTTGGAGCGAAGTATAAATTTTGTGTTTAAATGGAAAAGTCATGAA